GCACGTTTCGGCATTGGCAAGAGCAGCCTCCTGGACAGGCCAGCACTATATAGGACTGACCCGCCCTGCAGGCAGGAGGTAGTTCCTAGGTACTTCCCAGGCACTTCACGTGCCGTTCAGGAGGCAGGAGGTAGTCTTTAGGATTCGGCAGCAGCACTCTGGAGGAGCGCTGCAGGAGTAGTAGTAGTGTTAGCAGTAGTCTCCAGCGCTAGTAGCGTTAGCTGTAGCCTTCAGCGCTAGGCGCCATAGCAGCTAGAGTAGTACTAGAGATAAAGAGATTGGGCGGAGGCCAGAGGGACTTACCTGCAGCGCCGATGCCTCGGCTTCGTCTTCGAGGTACCTGCAGCGCTGTGTTATGAACATGATTGTCTGTTGAAATTTTATCAACACTCACTCACAGGAACTCCCGTACACACCCATACATGCACAGAAGGAAGGGGAGAGGTAGTGGAGGGTCACACCGCTCAGAAAAGAAAACGCAGCGGAAGACTCAGAGAAGCGAAGTGACCAAATACACAATTCAGTGAATTCTCTCCACATCAGTCCTAACAATCATTCATACAAGACAATCGAGTGATCACAGCCAAAAATCAATAAAGAGATGACAACTCAAACACAGTATTACCACTGTTTGTTAAACTCAAAGCATCGTTTTCACTGAATAACCCCAGAATCCTGTTGCGCTACCCTCAGAGGGGTAGCGCCTCAACCCCACCACCCGGAACAGCTAAAAATAACACGAAATCCCAGATAACATCCAGCGCCACCCTAACATCCAACTCAGTGGCCTGCGCCAAAGTGCAACAGGCTCCCAGAGCCAATCGCCACCCAGATGATGAAGAAGAAGCTCAGCGCCAACAGTCCCTGATGAAGATGAAGTCCAGACGATGATATCCTCTGAGAAGATGCAGCTATGGCTGCATCGCCGCTGGGACCCTACTCCTGAGGAGGGTCAGCAGTGCACCACGTGCTCCAACGCATGAGACCTCTGATAGCCCAGACTGCTTTGACTCCCAGAGAGTCAGAGCGGACAGCATTGACCCCAGTCTGGTCAGCGCTCCGAAGGTCTGGCTATGTCCGCTGTCTCCACCACGTGAATCAGCAACCACGACCTGATACCGTGTGCGCAGCAACTTCCACCACGAAGTGTCAACTGCCAAAAACCCAGGACCGATGTCCCCATCCTATCTATACTCTACTACTAGCCTAGACCGACCTAGACCGGATTGACTGACCGACCGGTACCGTTTCTGTTTCGGCCTCTAGGGCCTCTCCCATAGGGCCTGTTTGTCCTAGGGGTAGCCCGGGCTGTAGGAAAATCGAGTTAGTACTGGGCCCATATTTCTATATTTACGGATATGTCCCTCACAAATTTTCCATACAGGCAGGTCTCTCGGTTAGTCCTCAACCAAACAAAATTACGAATTTGTCCCTAACCATGGTACAGCGTCGTCAGAGTGAGGCTACAGGCAACCTGGAACCAGCAAGTCATTGCAGACCTACCCTCCCCCGGAGCGAGGACCTCCGAGGTAGGGGCGTAGGCGTGCAGAATGTCGAAGGGGCTCTCCCTTCTGCGCAACCTCTTATTTGAGGATAACAGACTCGGCTGTTTTCCGAAGCTCCTTGCGAGTAAACCAGCGATCCTCAGTATGGGGTTGGTAGAGAAACTTCACAAGGTACTCCTTATCCGGGCCTGTACCATACTCATCCTCAACTTTTTCCACCTCATATCCCTTCCCAGGGATCGGGGGACCAAATTGAGGAGGCCTGTCTGAAAATGCATCAGCTGGCGTAAAAGGGAGCAGCTTAGATGCATGGAAGACAGGGTAGGTTTGTAGATGCAGTGGGACATCCACATGATAAGATGGCCCGAAGGGGTCAACTCCCACTGTGTCTAAAACATGCCATGGCCCCATGTAACGTGGCAACAGCTTGGGTGAAATGTCCTCCTCCCACGATAACTCAGAACTGAGTACCCAGACCCAGTCACCAACGCGGATGGGGGATGGTCGACGATGCTTGTTAGCCTGCTGGATCATAGCCTTTTGGGCTTTGAGCAGGTTAACTCTGGCTCGTTCGATATCCCTCTGGTACTGTCTGGTGAACTCTGCAGTCCCCGGAGTCAGTTTGGGGGTAGCCTTATCGATGATGTCATCGAGAGGCTGCCGTGGCTCACGTCCCCAGTGCAACCGATAAGGGGTGAACCCAGTGCAACCGATAACGTCCGGAGTGTACAGGCGTGTTGTACACTAGCTGTGCCTGTCCTAGATGGAGATCCCAATCCTGCTGATCAGGGCTGATCACAGGACGCAGCAACTGAAAAAGAATCTGGTTCATCACTTCAGCTTGCCCATTGGCTTCAGGATGACGACCAGATGTCATATCCAGTCTGGAATGAAGGTAGTCCTTGCAGTAGCACTGCCATTCATTGTTGCAGAATCGCGGATCTCTATCACTGACAATAGAGGTGGGTGGTCCATGGTGAGTAACCCACCTGTCAGCAAAGGCCGCCTGCACAGCCGAGACTCTGGCTTCCTCTGGCAAAGGAATAAACTCTGCGTACTTGGAGAACCTGTCCACACACACCATGACCTGACGCATATCGCGAGGAGTAGTCTTCCCCAGGTCAGTGAAATCAATAGCCACTGACTGTGCTGGTGCCTCAGGGATGGGAAGTGGCTGCAATAGGCCAAGGGGAGGTCGGCGAACGACCTTGTTCCTTTGGCACATCTCACAGGTTTCCACATAGTGCAACAGGTCTTTCCTCATCTCTGGCCAGAAGAACCGCTGCGACAGGGCAGCCAACGACTTTAAGGCCCCAAAGTGGCCGCGAGCATCACGACACTCAAACATAATGAGTGTTCTCAGCTGGCGGTTTTGAGGGATACACAAACGCTCCTCTCCTCTGCTGCAAGTATACAGCAGACCTGAGACCAGAATATACCCTGGTTCAGAGGCAGGATCAGTCTGCAGATTCCTAACGATCGGGCCAAAAGTCGGGTCCTGTGGCAATAGTTGGGCAATGTTCTGACGGGTACTCTCCCCAAAAGTGTGAGTAGAGGAGATCATGCAGAGAGCGTCAGGCCTACGAGAAAGGGCGTCTGCTACACGATTGTAACAACCCTTCTTGTGTTTCAGTTCAAAGTCAAACAGATCAATGAACTGAATATAGCGCGCAAGCTTGTCATTCAGTTCCCCTTGGGTCTTCATCCACTGTAAGGTGAAGTGATCTGAATAGATCTGGAAGTGTCTGCCCATGAGGAAATGTTTCCAATGCTTTAGCGCTGACACTAGAGCATATAGCTCTTTCTGGTACGTGGAATCCTGCAGCTTTTTGACTTTGATCTTCTTACTCATGTACTCAACTGGCTGCAGACCATGCCCACCATCCTGCTGAAGTACCGCCCCAACCCCATACTGGCTAGCATCAGTAGTTAGTACGAAGGGCAAGGTAGGGTCAGGTAGCTTCAGAACAGGTGCACGCATCAAGGCCTCCTTGAGGCGTGTGAAAGCCTACTGACAGTCTGATGTCCAAAGAAAGTGGGTGTCTTTCTTTGTAAGATCAGTTAGGGGTGCAACAATAGCCGAGAAGTTCTTGACGAACTTCCTATAGTAAGATGCAAGGCCCAAGAATGATCGGACATCACGCACTGTGGTAGGCTGGGGCCAGTCCTGAATTGCAACAACCTTTGTTGCTTCAGGAGCCAGCCCTTCCCCAGAGATTACATGTCGCAGATAAGTCACAGAAGTCACTCCAAAGGAGGACTTTTCTCTGTTGATCTTGTACTGGGCCTCATGTAGTGCCTGGAGAACCAGAGCCAGATGCTGCGCACGCTCCTCAACAGATCGACAGAATACCAGGATATCATCCAGGTACACAACTACAAACCCGTCCAGGTAAGGCCTGAGTATGCGATGCATCTCTGTCCGGAATGTGCCAGGGGCATTGCAAAGACCGAAAGGCATGACCAGGTACTCGTAAGTGCCATATCTGGTCTTGAAGGCAGTCTTGTGGACATCGCCCTGAACCATCTCAATCTGGTGGTAGCCAGATTTGAGATCGATCTTGCTGAAGATTGTGCAGCCCTGCACCATGTCCAGCAGATCATCAATCCTAGGAAGGGGCTCTGTAGACTTCCTAGTGATTTTGTTGAGACCCTTGTAGTCCACACACATCCTGAATTCTTCATTCCCCTTTGGAACAAAGAGAACTGGAGCCCCAAATTCCGATGTGCTGGGTCTGATCCAGTCCTTGCTGGTCAGGGTCTCAAGCTGTCTCCTGAGCTCATCGAGTTCAACAGGTGACATCCTGTAGATACGGCCCTTGGGAGGGACCGCGCCGGCAGGTTTGCTGAATCGGTGAGGGACAAGGAGCAACATCCACACCAGTCTGTTTCACATATGCAACAAACAGACGTGCGCGGGCAGTCTGGCGAGAGAGCTGAAAGAACTCGTGTGCCCTCATACAATAGCAATTGCTGACTGGGTGGTACTCATCAGCCAGGACACAAGGCTGATAGTCCCCTGTACAGTCAGGGAGCTCTACCCTAGGGATCTGCCAGTCGATCCAAGGGTTAGTGGCCTCAAGCCACTGCATGGAGAACACAAGATCAAAGGGCACGTTCGGAAACACATAGAAGTTCAGGCGCTGCCTGACCTTCTCCTGCTTGTCAAATATAACCGGTAGGTTTTTGACAGCAGAGGTAATCCGGACTGTGGAAGAGTCTCCAATATACGGACTTCCAATGGCTGTTGTAACTTCACCAACCTCCCATCCAGATGCAGCTTGCTGACAACTTTGGGAGAGATGAAGTTCCGCGTAGCCCCACAGTCTAACACGCCTTTGATCCTTTTGTGCTTCTTCTTTTCCTGCAAAGACAGGAAAAGATCAGCAAAAGTTTGACTATCATCTTCCTGCCACGTCTCATCCAGGTCAGGGTCCATGTAAGTGACGGATCCTGACTCAGCAACTCCAACAGAGTAAGTGAGGGTAGATGCAGATTCAGACTCATCAGAATCTGAATCAGCACCAGTGGAGGGAACTGCTAACTCCACTTCCCTCTGCTGGTCTAGTTTTTTGAACTAGAACCAGGTTTGCGAGGCATATGGGGACAATCTTTCAAGAAGTGGTCCCCCTCGCAACGAAAACAAACCTCACGTTCCTTCCTTTTCTTCCATTGCCCTTCCTGGAACCTGAGCGCTCTCCAGGGAAGGGTGGAAGGATCCATGACGTTAACTGGCCAATGAACGTCTCGTGGTAAGTTAGCTCTCTAGGCCTGAGGGGAAGTGGCACGTCCCTTCCCTTTCCCCTTCTGGCTGGCTGAGCTCTTGCTGTTGCTGTCCTTATTGAACTTCCCCTTGAACATGGCAGCAAGCTTCTCAGCCAGGGCAAGAACGGCTGGCTCAACTGCTGATGCTGATGCAGTCTCAAATGGAGGACTGCCACGCTGAGATGCATCAGAATCAGAACCGGTGTCAGCAGCCAACAGAGCACCCTTCTTCCTGCGCTGTCCCCTGGAAGAGGGTCTCCTCGTTCCTTCATAAGGTTCCTGAACCTTGAGCCGGGACTCCAGGTCCAGGGCCGCTTTGCCAAAGGACATCCAGTCCTTGTGGCCCTGAGAGAAAAGAGCGATGAAGTAGTTTGGAGGCGCTGCGCGTAGGAAGTGAGTGAGCTGGTCAGACTCACTCATCTCCAGACCGGGAGTAGCTGTCAAGCTCTCAAACATACTGTAGAGCTTGGACAGGGAACCCTCAAATCTGCGTGAGCCCAGCAACATTATCTTATCTGCTGCTTTTCGGGTCTGTTCCCTGTCTGCAAACCGGTCTCGCAGGGCCTGCAGCAACCCCTCCACCTTCAACTGCTGTGCCCATTTGTCCATGGGCAGATTCTGTTTTGCTGCAGAGGATGTGCACCATTTCAGTGCATTCCTCTCCAGGCGACCCATAATAGTCCCTACCTTTGTCACCTTTGGACATACAAAGCTGCCCAGGTATGCATGCATAGCAGTAACCCAATCTGAAACATCCACCTTGGGGTCTTCCCCAGAATACATAAGAGGTGGTGTCAGCTTGGGCTGCCGCTGGTCAGATGTGCCAAAGGCGGCAGTGGTAGTGGAAACATGGGAACCAGCAGGTGAAGATGGCCGACTGTGAGATGGTGTGGAGGGCGCTGGGGAAGGTTGAGGAGGTTTGGGAGAAGGGACAGGTAGCTATAGGTGCTGCAAAATGCTGTTCGCACTCGTCGTCGGGGACTCAAGGCTTGCTGCTAGCTTGTCAACCTTGCGGTCTATGGCAGAACCTTGGGTCTCGAGGGCGAGTATCCTTTGGTCCCAGTTAGAAAAGTAGGACCTATTGATGGTGTCTGTTAAGAGCACCAATTCAGCAGTACCCTTACTGTACTGACTGGATGTACCACTCGTGACAACCTTCTCCACATCCTTGCGTAGCTGTCTCCTTCTCTCTTCATTCCTGCTAGCCTCCTGAGCTTCCTCCATCTCCTTTTTCAAATGCTGGATCGGGGCCTCTGCCTTGAGGTGAGCTTGCTCAGCCTCAAGCAGAGCCCGCTCCAGAGGAGTGAGAGGAGCCTGAGGAGAGTTAGCAGAAGTTTCTCCTCCCTCAATCTTTGTCTCAGCGTCAGACATAGTGAACCACTCACACAGTCAAATAAATAAAGACAAGCAGAAACAAGGTCAGCAAAGATTAAGATTACACACACAGACCGATGTAATCACTGCCACCTGATGAGAAGAGACGTGGCGAATTAGGCAGAAGAGCGCTCAGCCTTTGAAGGCCGCCGAGGGCTGTTCCGGATCAGTTTAGGGCAATCCCAGATAAAATCAGACTTGCGATTTTTCATTCACAGCCCAGAACAACCTTGGACTGTAAGTAGACAGGATGGAATAGCGCAGAGAGTCAGTAGCAATCAAAGAACCCAGTAGTCAATCAAGATGCAGCGGATGACTGATCAAGCTATTTTTAGACTCCTACTACTGACACTGGCAATGTAGGACCCTATATGCCCCACTATAGGTGAGGCGAAGTACATATATCCCTGTACCTGACTCGAAACATCAAATCCATCAGAGCGCTTTCAGACACTGACACAATATTGAATTGCGATTTCAGGGTGACTGACAGACTGAAATTCTGACGGACAGAACCTAAGATATGACAAATCCTAGCTGCCCCAAGCACTGGCTATGGCAGCGCAATACTCAGAATTCCATTATCACCGACATACAGACCCTGAACTACTCAATTCAAAGTGTATATTGAATCGCAATACTGTAATACAGTCAGAGATGCAATTTGAGACAGAGAGAAGGTCAAACAGAGTCAGTAGAAGTCAAAGTAGATAGGTAAGAGAAATAGATATGGCTGTCAGGCAGTGCGATTTTCAAGTTTCACTGTCTACAGACATGCAATTCCGATTTTCCCAGTCTAGTCACAACTATCAGACTCGCTACAGACACTTGAGTAAGGAACACACTTACTTCAGGGCAAAACACTGGAAGAAGAAGCTGAACTGGCTATGGCTGCCATCTCGCCAATTTCTTCAATTCATTGTTCCTGGTGCTCCCACGTTCCAAATCTCCTGAAACTTGGTGATACTGTAGTTCTTGATATGGCGATTAACCTCCACTAATCAGATTCATTGTATCTCGCCCAGAATCTGAAACTCGACATACCCCCAGGTATCTCGCCACCAGCAGAGTCAACCCCTGGGCAAAAAATAGCCCCTCAGGCCTCCCAGGCCACTGAGCACTGAATCGCCACCAATCTCTGTGTCATTCCAACCGCCACACACTCTTCACCAACACCCTATTGAGCGCAATCCTGAAGATGCTATTTCTCCATGAAACCTGACGTCAGAAACTCTCAGGTAGTGATGGCTGCCTCAGTCCATCATCTCGCCACTGTCTGGGTCAGATCTGCTCCGATACCAACTGTTATGAACATGATTGTCTGTTGAAATTTTATCAACACTCACTCACAGGAACTCCCGTACACGCCCATACATGCACAGAAGGAAGGGGAGAGGTAGTGGAGGGTCACACCGCTCAGAAAAGAAAACGTAGCGGAAGACTCAGAGACGCGAAGTGACAGAATACACAATTCAGTGAATTCTCTCCACAACAGTCCCAACAATCATTCATAGAAGACAACCGAGTGATCACAGCCAGAAATCAACGAAGAGATGACAACTCAAACACAATATTACCACTGTTTGTTAAACTCAAAGCATCGTTTTCACTGAATAACCCCAGAATCCTGTTGCGCTACCCTCAGAGGGGTAGCGCCTCAACCCCACCACCTGGAACAGCTAAAAATAGCACTGAAACCCCAGGTAACACCCAACGCCACCCTGACATCCAACTCAGTGGCCTGCGCCAAAGTGCAACAGGCTCCCAGAGCCAATCGCCACCCAGATGATGAAGAAGAAGCTCAGCGCCAACAGT